AAAGTTAAACATACAGTCATCATAGAACCTAGCAACTGCATTCCTGGGCATATATCCCAGAGAAGTGAAAACTTACATCCACACAAAATCCTGCACACAAATGTACACAGCAGCTTTTTCATAACAGTTCCAAACTGAAACAACCAAAACATCCTACAAGAGGAAATGGTTAAACAAACCACAGTATATCCACATCATGACAGACTACTCAAATCAAAAGGAATGACTATTAATACACAAAACTTCAATAAATTTCAAGGGTATTTATGAGTGGGGGGGGGAAATGTCAGAAGTCACATATTGCATGATTCCATGTATATATCACTCTTCAAATGGTAAAATTATGGAAACAGGTAACAGATTGGTGATTGCCAAGGGTTAAGGTGAGGTCTGACATACAAAGAATTTCTTTGTAATTATGGAATAATTCCATATCCTGATTGTGGTGGTAATCACAAAAATCTCTGTATGTGGTAAAACACACATACACAGAATGAGTGATATAAAGGTGATGAAATTCAAGTAAGGCCTATAGTTCAGTCTCCTAGCTTTGACATGTATTATGGTTAGGTAAGATGCTATCACTCAGGAATTGGGTGAAGAGTATATGGAAATTCTCTGTACTATTTTGCTGACTTATTATTTCAAAATAAAAAGCTTTTTAAAAAGTAAGAAATACAAAATGGTACACCACAAAGTACCTCTCCCACCACGGACTCTAGTTATCCAGTTTCCCTCTGCAGGCAGCCAATGTTACTAGATTCATATGTAAGCTCCCAGAGATATTTTATACATGTCATTTTTGTGTACCAGTTTCTCTTATTTTCTACAAAATACAGCATATTATATGCATTCTTTTGCACCTTGCTTTTTCCACCGATCAGTGTATCTGGGAGATTTTTTCACAACAGAGCATGAAGAACTTCCTTTTCTTTTTTTAGGACTGCATGGTAATTCGTTATACGGCTATCCCATAACTTACTTAAGCAGTCCCCTATTAATAGACATTTATTTAGGTTATTTCTAAATTTTTGCTATTCCAAAAACTTGAGATTGAATTACACTGGTAGGTTCACTTATTTTTGAGAGTAGGTAAAAATCTTGCAAGTTTTTGTGTCAAATGGCAGGTGCATTTGACAAGACCTCTCTCCTGCCAATACCTTACTTTCCTGCAGTCATTATTATCTGGATTACTCGAGGGCCTCCCTAAACCTACTGCTGCCTGACTCCATCTCCCTTTCTACACAGCTGCCAAGTGTTATTTTTTAAACACAAGTTCTGATTACACTGCTCCTTCAGTCATTTCCCACTGTCGTCAAGATAAAATCAATCTTAGATGTACATAGCCTTTCAAGGATCTGCACAGCCTAAAGTGTCCCGTCTCGTTTGCAGGTCTCCTCCTGAATCTCGGGCCTCCATCCACACTCTGCTCTTCAAGCAACACTGCAGTTTCTCAGAAATCACGCACATACGGCTCGCTGGTCCTTTGGCTCTTTTCACTGCTTCTAAAACCTGTCAACTCTTCACAGCTCCAAAATACCTTGTTTAAAGTCTTCCTGATCCCAAATATGATCAGCTCCTTTTATGTTCACTCCCCAAATTTGTGAATACTTATATTGTATTTCTTCTAAATTTCTGATTATAAAAGACATATGCTTATTGAAGAATAAAGCTCCTAAAGTGTATAAAGAATGACAAAACGATAGAGCACCAACCTCACCGCAGGTAACCCCTGCTAAAATTTTTATGTACCTCCATTCTCTCCAGATATCTTCGTCTGCGTCCTAAGGTCATAATTCAGATTTGTAATTTACTTTCTTAACACTATATCCCAACCATCTTTCCATGTGGATATACATTAAAGCATTCTTATTGGCTGCACGGTTTTTCACTGTACTGAGAGTACCAATTTACAAACTCTGTAAGTGGGCCTTCAAGTTCATTTTTTTGCTCATGATATCCTGAATCTTAGACCTATCCTAACATTTTAAAAAGAGATTCTTGAGGTACCAGTCATTTAAAAATTCCCAGTGCTTGGCACACAGTATTTGGTTAGATGAGTTTACGGTAAAGGATGAACTTAATTTTCTGGCTAATACTGGGAATTATATAATCAAACTCATGTACAAGCGTCAGGTTCGTGCGTTATTTTCTTGATCTTACTCGCCAAAACAACCTGAAAGTAGTATACTTGCCTTAAATTCTTTCTGGAAGAAAAAGGCAAATTTTTGAAAACGAAACCCAAATACGCCGCCATCGGGCACTAGGAGGCGGCGCCGGCGCAAGCGCGCGACCGGGGGCCTCCGGCAGGCAGGTGGCCGGCCGGCAGCAGCTCAGCCCCAGCGGGACAGCGCGCTCTCCGCGGCCGGCGTCACGGGCCCCAGCGGGGTGTCCCAGCCTCTGGGGACGTTGGAGCGGAAGCCCGGGCGGGCCGGCCGCCGCCGGCGAGGGGCAGGACCGCAACGGCAGGCCTGGCACCGCCCGCCCCCTCCCGCGCCTGCGCACGGCAGCTGGTCAGCGCGCGGGAGCTGCTTGCAACGGACACACACACACTCACCCGCCGACGTGGAGAGGCGAGGACAGTCGGCTTGTGTAACCCGGCACCCAAACCTGAGCACTCCTAAGAAACGACTCCCGGAGGAGCTCAGCTTGCGGCCTCCCCACATCGCGACTAAGGACCCTCCTCTTTTCCGGTCCCTCCCGGAAAATACCCTCTACAGAAAGGTTCCGAGATCTCTCGCACCCACTGGATCCAACCGAATCACGGTTGCCTTGCTAATGGGTGTTCTGTACGTGTGGCTGTACTCACTCTTGATGCTATGCCAAATTCTGCATGTAACTCAACTATAGAGTTTCTGTAATCATATGCAAACTACAATAGCCTCTGTCTATTCCTTCACTACCACCTCAAGTCTCATGGGCAAAGTAGCTATCAGTCATGCTACGTAGTGCTACTATTTTTATTCCCATGCATCTCTATTTCATATTTAATAGATGTCTCCCAAGGACATTTATACTCCTGTAAGCCACTGACCCTTAGAATCACGAAAAGTACTGAAGCACTTCTTCCCTGAAGGTAGAAATGTTTTTCCTTTCCAGGCACTTAGGTCACAGAGCGCCCGGAGTCTTAAGTGAAAACGTAAATTCTCCAAGTGACCCGGTATTCCGGAAGGCATATATTTCACAGCAAGTGGCTAATAATCTCTCAGGCTAGGCAAACTTAAAGTTAGTGCAGTGGTAACCTTTTACTTCTAAATTTATGGAAACCTTTCTTTGGTTAAGAATAATAAATTTCCAACATTAAAAGCAAAAATAATTGTGATTTTTCAACAGGTAGTGTCCAATCTGTGAAGGGTTCTTCATTAGTGAAATTTACTCCTCAGTAGCAGTCACTTATGGCTTCTTGGTAAACTACTGACCTCCTGCTAAGAGTGGCAGCAGATTTTTCACTTGCAGACTGTCCTCTTCAGAGTTCTCTCAAGATACAACCATCTTTTCAACTGAAGGCAGAAGGCTCTGCACAAACAAACATTTGGCATGTTGTACATGCCTGCTGGAATGACAGATCCAAGGAAAAAGCAAAGGGCAGGTATGATTAAATAAAGCTTTAAGAGCTTTATTTAAATAAACGTACTTTCTTCCTTTGTACCACCTCACTGGGCTTCAGGGACTTCCCACTCCATTTTCAGTTCAATGATTTGCCTTAATACCAACAAAAGCCACTTGTTCGGTCCAGATAAACAAAACTAGCTTATAGCATTTTTCTCTACAAACTATCCATTTTTGTTCCAATGATACTTAAACCTGAGTTCTTTTGGAAGGACTAGCAGTTGTAATGTGGTATGTGGCCGTTGTTGGGAATTTATTTTCCAGACCATCACTAAGGTCTCACCTATAACTGTGTTGTAACCTAGAGTCCGCAATCTATTTTGCTATTAAAACTGAATGTCTATTTAATATTCTGAAATTCAATTTTAAAACTTTATATAAACTATTTTCATTCAAGTTAAGGGTAAACTGCTCCCTTACAGCCAACAGTTTTGCCCCTTTGAAATGATATACTACTGTTCAGAGTAACTCCCAAGTTTTCATATTTATAAAATTTCACATAAACTGGTAATGTAGGATAATTTTAACTTATGCTACCATAATAAGAATGTGGAGGTTTAACCTTTATGTTTTATAGGAAAACTGGATAACACCCAATAAACATTTATGGTAAAATAAACTCATCACGTATGAGTTAAAGAGCTAATAAAAAGCCCATCTTGTATGTTTCTCATTTCAGGATGTGAGTTCATTCTCAGTAAATCCTTATCAAATATGCAAAAAAAGAAAAAAAAAGCCCATCTTCTCATTTAGGTTTAGACATTACAACCAAATTCTACTTAAAACTGAAGAACTTAAGGGTTACAAGTGTTTGAGACTTCAGAGATAATCTAATTCCACCCTTTTAGACTTGAAGAAATTGGGGCCGATAGTGGTTAAGTGATTTGTCCAAACACATCAAGTATAAGAGCCAGGACAATCCAATGAATGTAATTAAACCATGCTTAGTACATTTTGGAAATTTCACTAAATTAGTTTTAATGTTTGTAAGAGAAGAAAAACTAAGTCTAAATGTAAAAGTTTCCATAAAACAGTATTACAGGGACTTTGGACCTTATACAATTCCTATGTAAAAATACCACGTGAAATTTAAAAATCTCACCTATTAATATCATGGTATGTGTTTCTTTGAAGAACCCAGACACTTAAAAAGAGACTATGGGAGGCTCACCTATGTATCGTACCATTAGAAACATGCTAAAATAGACATTTTGCAATGGCAGAACACATAGACACTTAGATTCCACACCGATCTTTATTTATATTCTGGGGCCTGAAACAAATCTTAATTACCTCTTCCAAATTACATTTTATTTTCTTGGTGGTGTGGTTTATTACCCCCATTCCACAAAAACAAGTATGATTAACACACTAGAAATATTCAAAAGGCAAACCTCTTAAGACAGTTTTTATTAACCAAGCCAGACCAATGATTATCTCAAAAACTGAATATTATTTTTCTGGTGGTGTCATTTTAGAAGATTTAATGACCAAATTATACATCTAATTAAATTCTGTGTAAGTTTTAGCATTCACATCCCCAATCATGGAAGCCCCATTTTAAAAAAATCTTACCACTCAAGGTAAACATATATTACATGTCAATGAAATGACAAATTCTCTAAATTACCCATAAAAATATAAAAAACCAAAATATCTAATTTTAACATTGATGTATCTACTAATAATAACACACATCATGGCTGTGCTTTAAAAAATATCTACAGACTTAAGTGATAAGAAGCTTGCATATTATGGCAGAGTAAATAACTGTCAAATTTTGGCTCTATTCGTATTTTGCCCAAAAATGTGCATATCATAGCCAGCAGAACTTTTCTGTAGAATTTTATTTTGAAAATATCATTTTACCTGAAGATTGATCTAAAAAACACTTTAATATATGAAAATGTTATACAATTTATCTATTACAAATTAATTGGATAATTCTGTAATTAAGTACATTATAGCTCACCTACATAAAAAATATTGCACATTTTCCTTTGTCTCCAGATGTGACTGATATCTAAACTATATAGAATTCCAAACTATTCAAAAGATATTCTGTGAATGTCATCTTTATAAGTATCAAACTAAATGCACTGTAAAACAACCATTTTTGGTAAACATGCATTTATTCACAGTTGATTCATTTTCTCTAGATAAATGCATAACTGCTCAAAATTATTAAAGAACCTATGTAGAGGTACAAGAGCACACTATACAAATCTATTCTATCTTCATTTTGAGGAAACACTAATGTTGGCAAAAATCTGACTTATTTTAAAATGAAATATTGCTGGTAAGAAAGCATACTTTGGAGCTTTTCTGGGACCTGCACCTGCTCTCTTCTTTTTAAATTAAAATTTTAAAGCATTTGTTTTCAGAGATTTAACTATTGTGAGATAAGTGATTACTCATATAGAAACAGACCTTCAAAGCAACTGAGCATTTAAATGCCTGCAAAGCCTCATTTTACTTAGAAGTCATGACCGCTTTAAATTGCTAGACCACTCACCATGATTTTAAGAGGCGCCAAAACCATTTTAGTGTTATGAAACTGACACAAACCTGCTAACACAGCATTCCTCCAATCAGCTGTCGTATTAAACTTTAAAAATATAAATATATTGAATTGTGAGTCTTATTTCTATAATAAACCCCAAGTGTTTAAAATATGCTTCTAAAGCAGAAGTGGGTCACTGCAGAATATAGTTCCAGATTTGACTATTAGTGTCACACACAATCATTCCTTATGAAAAACTCTAATGGTGCACTGGCTTGACTGATTCCAGCAATTTCATTTTACAGGAGATGAACCATACTTTATACACACAGAGAATATATTACTTGAAATCCCCAAAATAGGAAGAAAAATCTAAAAATATGTCAAGTGCTTCCCCCAAGAAAGTAAAGATCTATTTCTGGCCCTCTTCCACACCCTTAAAGTTGGAATTTGACAAAAATCCATGGGTACAATTTACAAACTTTTGACACACTATTAAGTTAAAACCATTTTCTTTGGGGGAGATGAGAGGAAGTACCTTTGAAACCTGTTATACAAAATTCCAGCTGCCTTTTTATAAAAGAGTACGTTCCTTAGATTAAAATCAAAATTAAGGTGCAAGAAGTTAACAAAAATGAACTAAAGAGCTTTATTGACATCACAGTACATTCAAGAATAACTTTAAGAACATTACAGCTGAAAGAGAATGGCATGTTTATAGTCTTATTATGCACTATTTTTGAAAAAAATGTAATACAAAGAAATCCTATTAAGTAACTTGGAGCAGCATTTGGAAAAAGTACACCTATTTACAGATTAAAAAAAAAAAAAGATTCTGGTTTCACCTACACAGCCACAATGTGCCTCTATAATGAGACAAGCCCTTAAAACTCATGGAATTTTTTAAACATCATGGCATTCTTGCCACATCATTCCTCAGCGTTTTCGACGGGGAGGGGTTGTTGATCTGCAAAAAAAAAGGGAAAAGAGAAATATAAAAATAAAAATGTATTTTAAACTAAAGAATCTGCAATTTTAAAATATGTATTATTATATAGGATTTCTAAGATTACTTAAGACTATGATCATTTATCAAGTACCAAACTGAGTTTATTAAAGAGAGAGAGAAAGGACACTTTCAACTTTGAATAAATTCAGTCAAATTTTTTTAAAAAATCAGACAAATACTTTAAAAAGTATACTACCTTGATCGGGACTTAGACTTGTGTTTGCGGCTTGCCTTCTTACCAGACCTTTGAGATTTCTCCACGGATCGCGATCGACTATGTTTAGGCTTCTTAGCCTTCTTTTCTTTGCTACTTCCTGGAGATTCAGAACTGCTCCTTCCACTAGAATCAGAGCCTGAATGTTTTCTACTGTCTTTGGTGGCACTTTTCTTACTATCCTGTCTAGAATCATGTCTGATGATTTTAACAGATATCGAACCACTCCTAGAGAATGTTCTTTCACTTTCTCGTTTCCTTTTTAACCTATCGTCCTGATTACTGAACTTAAAATCTTTTTCGTCCCTTTTTTGTTTCTCTTTTCTCCTATCCTGTTCACGCTCCCTTTCTTTGTCTTTCCTTTTCCTATCTTTATCTACACTTCGACTCCTCTCCTTTTTTCTCTCTTGTTCTTTAGCCTCACCTTTATGCTTATGACTGCTCCCACTAAGATTTCCACGTGGATCATCAATTTTACGCCTATCTCGACTCCTACTGCGCGTGGACCGATTGGCTCGCCTATCTCTTGAGCGACTTCTACTTCTACGCCTGTCTCGGGAAGGGCTCCGATTTCGCCGTCTCTCTCTTTCAATGCTATTTCTAGTAGATCTCCTCCTGTCTCTAACCTTGACTCTAGCCCTGCTGCTCTCTATTTTAATTCTGCGAGAGTAACTTCTACTCCTACTACGTCTGGCTTTAACTGCTGGAGATCTGCTCCTACTGTGCCTCTTTTTCCTTTTAGGAGAAGAAGATCGAGAAGAAGTGCGGCTACTACCTGAGCTCGAACTGTATGAAGAGCTAGACGCAGTACTACTGGTACTACTAGTTCTGCTATTGCTACTGGAACTCCCACTACTAGAACTGCCTGACCTACTCCTGCCTTGTTTCTCTTTCTCTTTATGCTCTTTTTTTGGTTCTAAAACTAATGGAGTTTCATTTGGAGTTCTTTTCTTTTCATTAACCACATCACCATCTGCTTCTCTTGTTTCTAGTAGTGATAAACTATTTTGCTCTTTATGGATAAATTCAACTAAGAAAAGTCAAACGTACAATGAAAAAAACTCCTATATTACCTAACTTAAAGCTATCAAACTATAAAAATACAGCAGTAATGTTCAATAGAAATAGTATGCAAGCTACATAAGCAATTCAAGATTTCCTCGTAGCTACATTAAAAGTAAAAAAAAAAATGAATTAATTTTAGATTTTATTAACCCAATATATCAAAAATATTACCATTTCAACATGTAATCAGTTAAAAGAATACTGAGATAGAATTCCTGCTTTTTATTTTCTTGTGAAGTATTTGAAATCTAGGGTATTTTATACCTACAGCACATCTCAGTTTGGGCTAACTACATTTCAAATGCTCATTGGCTATATATGCTGTCAATATAGCAAGAGTATCAAAGTGTAGAGGTACAGGTGAAGCAAGTAAGACTTTCCTTTTGTCCAATAAAACAACTTAAAGAAAGTAAGTAATTTACCGGGAACTTTTGACTGCTAACTCATTATCTTTCAAATTGTCCAAGTAAGATTTTTCAAAAAAGATATTCTAATAGTTTCTTCTTTATTCCTAGTACCATTACGGAAACTAAGACTGGTACTCATTCATGTATTTTACATTAAAAAGAACTTCTAAAAAGTCCTGTATTATCCTTAAATATACTAGCTACAAATTACTTCTCCATAGTTTTGAAATGTATTTATTTCCCCCATTTCAAAAGCCTTCTTTTAAGAACTTTAACAAGAAATAAAAATACACTAGATAGCTTAACTTACACCCACTGGAATTAATGTCTCCCAAAAAGAACAAAAAACAGTTTACCTTTTTATGAACTATGTATTTTGAATGCTACACTTAATTTTTACTTTAGTGATAAAAAATTGAAAATAAGCCAAAAATCTTCATTTCAGTTTTATCACATAATATTTTAATCTTGCCTTAATTCTACCCTTTGATATTTTTAGGTTAACTGAAACATAAAAAGAAATATAATCAAACTTGGACAAAAATTAAGTGACTCTCAAAGATATACCTTCCATCTGTTTATCATGTAACAGCTGCTGTTCTTTTTCTTTTCTCCAAAAAGCTTCCTGTTTTTGCCGGATTCGGTGCCGTAATTCCTCCTCATCAGTATCAGATGACTCAGAGCCTCTGTCACTCCTCTCATCTTCACTGTCTCCGGATCCATAACCACCCAGTCCACCTGTGTGCATAAAGCCCAATCTATCATATGGAAAAATATTCTATGCACTAAAAATTTTTTAAGGTCTGAGAAGAAAGGTCATTTTTTTCATTGTCTTTTCTTGGAAGAATATGCTTATTCGGGGTGGGGAGGAGTATAAATGCCAATGCTTAAGGAGTTCATAGAACCCTCATGAAAATTGTTACTTAGTATCTTATTCTTTCTGGAATACTTCTCACCATAAAGGAACTGTTTTTTTTTTTTTTACTGTCCATACTAACCAACAAAAAAACAGTTAAAAGGGTAGTAACAAAGCCTCACTAATTATAATCAATTCAACTACCTTAAAAAATTTTATGATGATCCTGGAAGTATTTCTAAAATTTACTCAATCCCAGGTAGTATGCTAAGCACTTTTTTTCCCTAAAAAAATTATAGATACTGTGTTTCCCACTGGCACAAAAATGATATGGTGCTAAAACTACTCCCCACCCTGAAGTGTTCAAAACAGTAGTCATCATAAAATCACATGGGCATTTGGTTCTACCCGTTTCTGTCAGTCCTCACAAAGGTTAATTTGAAATGAAGATGTGGAAAAGGAAAATTCAAGCTTTCATATACCTGATAATATATCATGCAAAGAGTAAATTATGAACACATAACTACTATTATACTATGACAAGATAGACCCTTTCCTCTATGTTAAAACTTGCCTTGCTGAAACACAATCTAAATAAAGGTCCCTAAAAGCGATATTGTTTAGGTTCTTCCCTAAGGCATGTATGCAACAATTGTGAAAGTAGCTTAAATACTATCATGGCTACATTATGAACTATGACAGCTTGCCCCAATAAACTATGAATTAGTCACCACATTTATAATAATCCCATCGTGAATGCTTTAGCAAAAAAAAAAAAAAAAAGGNCTAAGACCTAGGTTTTATAAATTGAGTAGGAACAGTACAGTTTCAAAACAGAACATGTAGAGAGACAAGGTAAGTGTGATTTTCCCTTTAAGGCCCTCTCACAAATCAGGAGAACACTTACCGAGTCCAGTGAGGGAGGCCAGTGCACTGGACTGTGCCAGCTGTTTTGCAGGAGCTTTGTATCACATCAACAACAGGAACAACATGTTAACACAAATAGCCACGATTTCATAGTCATGAGTCTATGGTATTGTTAAATCTACTACTATTGCTGCTTTTTGGGGAGAGAAGAAACATTAAAAACATAACATTCATTTTAAACTAGTAGCATGTCTGGCCTTGAAATTATAACCCTGATGTGAGCTGAAATTGGTTTATAATAAGAAAAAGTGTTGACCAGTATATGTCAGTATTTTTATTTTTAGGTATGGCCCATAATTGAAAGTTTGATTTCAATAAATTTTTTAAGTGTTACTGGGGTAGGAGGGGTGAGGATAACACTTGCTTCTGCAAGAAGTCTAAGTGGTAAAGTGAAAACTCCGCAAGTTTGTAATTCAATTCATTAGTCAAACTAAACTGTATTAGAAGTCATACACCAATACCACGGGATCTATTTTTAAAAAATCAGGTGAAATAAATTGATCAAGAATTCTCCACAATACATTTTAGAGAACACCAGCATAACAGCTAATGTGTGCTCAGAAAGGCTGGATAAAACAAAAATATTTGTATAGTTTAATATGGCGCCTACAAGCTAATCTTTCCCAAATAGTTCAAACATGCAAGAATATTCAAGCATCTACCAGTAGTTCACCAAGGACAACAAAAAAAGTCCAAAATAGCCACCAAAACCAAAACACCCCCAGAAAAACAAAACCAAGAACACCCACATGTACCTTTCGTTGCTTTCCGGTGCGCATCTTTGGCTACATAATAAATTTCTTCATCTGTGACATCCAGTAGGATTTCAGTCAGAAGCGTCTTTGTCAGCAACATCTAAAGGAGGAAATTTTACATATTGTTCTTAATTTAATTATCATAGTTACTAACAGTTAAACATTTTTCAAAAAAAAATTAAAGGCAAGACCATATTATAAAACATGGCTTAAAAGAGTTCAGCTCATAACCTTTTCAAACAATATGGCTTCTCTCTCCCTTACCAACTTTACATTTCCCTGTATGGCCCCAGAAGATGACTGGTTAGCCAGAGACGGGTAAGATTCCTCAAGGGAGGAACAACCTAAGACAGGCACAGTCGCAGGGGGGCCATCACGTGAGAACTTGGGGATCAACAGAGGTGAGGCTCAGAACCTCACCCCCCCTGCTTTCAGAGAAATCTTCTGCATCCGTGGATGTCTTGCTGCCCTTGTCTAGCCTGGATTAATACTTAGTCCATAGGCACACACCTGATCATCTGATCATCTACATTTGCCCTCTTACAGCACTAAACTATGTTTTCTACCTTTATCTTGCATCTACCTACCACTTCAGCATTTTATTAAAAATAAAAATAATAATAATAATAG